TTATTCTATAACACACACAACCAGAGGCGTTTCCTATTTCGTGGGGGGGGGGATCCCAAGCCCAGATAAAAGGGGAGGGTTGTGTCAGGAAGCGTGCAAAATCTTGCCAACCCAAACAAACATGCGGGTCATCAAGAATGATCTTTCCATACCGGGATGACAGCGACTGCCTGCGGTGCTGGTGGAAACCGTGCTACTGTAAGACAAAGGAAAAGGAAAGGCGTGTTTAGAGACAGGAAGAAGGAAGGAAAGGCGTGAGAAGGACTTAAGGAAAAGAAGGACTGTGGATGTGCACAGGGTTGGTGTGACAGGGAGGATGCTAAGGATAGTGTGAGATGAGGGCAGATGATCTGCTGTGGTGACCCCTGAAGTGAGCAGCAGAAGAACTAGAGGCAGGATTTTTTTTTTGTTGTTATTTGTTTCAGGGGGAACCTTCAGAACATTTTCTCTTAAGTAAATACTAGGGCCAGGTGATATATAACCTCAAAATTATATCGCAATATTTCAAGGAAATTTATAATAACGATATTATTACAATATTGAAAAAAGTACTGAACAATATTTTATTTACTGCAGGCAAAAGATTTGTTAGCGCAAACAAATATGAAGGGTATTTTACATCCACCTGGCAGACTACCTGGTTCAAGGTGTGAATCCATTGCCAGCAGCAACATAGAGTAATAGTGACACACAGCAGAAGTCAAATGTAAGCACAAAAGTAGCCTAGGTAGTGTTTTCCCTGGAAATTTTAAGCAAACAAAACATTCTAACAACAGTTAAACTAAAATAACCCTTACAACACTGTCACATAAATAAAAATATATTCTCTCTGGAATGTTGCATCTTAGGTCGAGCATTTTATGCAGTTGCATAAACCTGTACTTTACCACTAATTTCTATCCAACACATGCTGTTCGTGTCATATGGAGTGCAGTGCTCCAGCGATGCCCTTGTTTAAAATTGGTCACACTTCACCAGCTGTTAGTATCTCCTCCTTGCGCACCTACATATCCCAGTTGTCCTCAATGGTGTGTTTGTGCCTGAAGAAACAATGTTGTAGCTTCCATCTTCAGCTAGAATAGTTTTTGTGCATATTTGGCAAATCATTGTGCTTTTATTTTGTAGTATCTTTCACTAGGTCTTCACCAGAGGCATACATCTTGTTGTCCACATTAGGGAGGATAAACCCATGACATCACTATATCAGTGACATTTTTTTATATCATATGAAAATTTGTATTATAACAGACGATTTGATACACCACGTTCCCAATAAATACAGAGGATAATATTGTTGCAGAAACATTGAGTATGATTTTCAGGCTGTTGCAGCAGCACACATGCTATTAAAAATGGCACGACACAGGAGATGAAATATTTTTATACTGAAAATTGTTAAACTCTTACTCGTGCATTCGTATAAATGAACAAAAATATAATTGAAGGTACAAGTAGTCATTATACAGAAGCTATCCAGCCATTCATTTTCTTTAATCACTTTAACCTCCACTGTTATGTGTCTTTAAATACATTAAATTATTTTGTGGGGCTTTGCACATACCCCTTGCCACAACTCTAACAAAATGCGAAGAATCCATTCATATTTTCCAAAATAGAGCATTTGCTTCCATTTTGGGGTTCAGGGCTGCTTCAGGAGGTCGGATGATTATTGTTAACGGGCTTTAAGTATCTGTCCTTGCAGCAGCTGAAAACAGATGTTGGATAAATTGCTAATGTCTGGCCAGTAGGTGGCGCAGAGGGTGGTCCTTTTATTTTCCATAGCCTCTCACTGTAACTACAGTCAAATTAGATCACAGTGTGTATAAATTAATATTTTTCAGAATGTTTTATTGCATTGTAATTTATGATTTTATCATCATAAATCTCTATATGAGCAAAAGCCGCAGTAAAAAAGAAAGCGTCAACATCTTTGAACTGTGACTGCGAAATGTTTCTTCTGACAGGTTTAAGAGATTTTTTTATTTTTTATTTTTTTTAACCTGTGTGACGGTGTAAAGTGGGATCATCAGGTTTTGTGCTGACTGGTAGTTTTTGTTTCCTGCAGCTGGTGGAGAGTGAGGAGCAATTTCAGCAGAGTTTAGCAGATGTTCTGGTGGAGGAGACTAGTGTCACCGTGAACGTGTGAGTAAAGCTCGCTTCATCCTGCAAACTGCTGAAGTCTGCTATCTGTCAGGGGAAAGTGGCTGCAGCACACAAATGGAAACAGAGTCTGCCATCCTCACAACGAAACAAGATTTGTTTTCTACCATCAGTCGCATTTATGTTTAAACAGTATGACTTTAAACGTTTATTTAGTAACAAAATATTTTTTATAATCAACAACAAACAAGTAGATATGTACTTGGGAAAAGGACTTTTGTACTACTCAGACTGCAATGTCATAACAGGTTTCCAGCTGGTAATGTAATGTTGACTTTATGATTAAATAATTGTGTAATTCTGACTGGGGAACTCGTACGTGATGCTGCACTGTTATTCAGCAGCTGCAGCGAATTACTCAGTTATGCAATGACTTTGAGATGTGTGAAGACCACCTGAGGTGGGTGAGAGTCCCATTATTGTCATCGCTTTTTGTACTTAACAGGAGACTAGCTAAGAGCCTTCCTTTGCCCATGGAGAATGATGAGAGCCGTCCCAGAATAGACTTGGTTGTGTTCATCATCAACCTAACCTCAGAGCTCAGGTAACTTTCAAATCCATCCATCGATTTTCAGCTTATCCATTTCATGGTTGCGAGGGTGCTGGAGCCAATCCCAGCTGTCATGGGGTACACCCTCACCAGTCTGTTATAGGGCAAACACAGAGAGACAAAGAGCCATTCACACTCACACTTACCTAAGCCAGGACTGTGGGAAGAAGTCGGTGCAAACTCCACAGTCCGCAGAGGCCTGATCCAGGGGTACCCTCCTTTTGTCTGATTTCAGTGAGTGTCTATTGAAAAGGAACCTGAACTTGTTCCTAGTCACCAAGATGAAAAAATACATACATGTCCAGATGCAATTTGTTGTACTGGCCACCTGAACACACAGGTTCTGTTTCATATAACAGCTTTGTTTTTGTGTTGTTCTTACTTAATTGTTACGAGAGTGAGATGTCATTTTTAAACCACATAAATTGCCACAAACCAGCCCAGAGACTTTATTTTTCTAGTGTGTTCTGGGACTGCCCTGGGGCCTCCTTCCAGTAGGACTTGCCCAAAACGCCTCATCTAGGAGGTGCCCAGGTGGTTTGGGCATCCTAGGTAGATGCCATGATCACCATGGTGTTGATGATCACAATGATTCACTCTGACTATCAACAGCTCATTCTGGTGCCACTCAGTCCTCTTCAAAACAAGATCTCCAATACTTAAAACTCCGCCTTACTTGAAGCGTCACCTTCACCCAAACTGAGCACTAAACCTTAGATTTTGAGGTTTCATGAAGGAGAAACTTGATGTCATCATGCAGAAACAAGATCCCGATGCCTCTGACATACGTTGTCCAAAATATTTAATATTTTAACATGATATGATTTAGCAGTGCTTTATTCTGTTTTGTTTTATTTTGTTGTAGTTTCCAGTCAGCAGAAGCGTCCCTGAAATATTTGGACCCGGGATATTTCCTTGGAAAAGTTTGCTTCATGGTTACGAATGGTATGGCAACGGTTAAAATCCTTTTATGTGTTTTTCTTTTTGTCTTGTTTTGTTTTATGTTTTGTTTTTTCCCCAGTCCCTTGATTCACAGGAAGGAGGGGAAAAAAATAAGCTGAGATTAAATCAAGGAGAAATTGTCTACCACTGTTTACATTTTACTTCACCGTTGAACACCACCCACAACACATATTGTTGTACTTTCAGCCTTTTTTGTGTCTGACCAGCTGACCTTTTATGCTTCTCTTTCTTGTAGCTCGTAACGCTTCCGCCCCCGCTGAGCGCCTGGATGCTGTCAGGAAGCTGGCTGCGTCGCTCCACTGTCCCCTGTTGTTTGCGGAGGATCAGGTTTGTAGCAGTCTGGGTCACAAACACTGAAGATGTTTTAAGTCGTGTGTGAAATCCAAATCTAGCCCTTCACACATTTTAATCTGAATGCATATCAGTATATGTTCTCAGTAAACTTTTACCTTGCACACTGTCACATGTTGTGTTTCTTGATTCACATTTCTTGTTGAAATGTATGCAGAACAAAATTACAGCTTTGTTATCTTTGCATAAGGATTTATTTGGCTTTATTAAACATCCAGTACTTGTTGTAGTCATCGTTTTCAGGCTTGTGAAACAGCTTCTGGCTGTTTGTCTTTTTTTCTTTTTTCTTCAGCAGTATGATGGCTAAGCAACTTTTTTGTTGACTGATTCATAAAGCTGAAGTTGCACAGAGGGAAAAGCCTGAAATTGAACTCAGAAGGGAAAGCTGTTTGTGTGCGTGTGTTGTGTAGCTCAGCATCGCTGTAGTTTAGAGGGTTCTGCGCTGTTGTTGACAATAAAACATCAAATGTAATTTTTGTGTCTTTTTGCGTTTCCTAAAAAGCCATCCTGTGTAATCTTTCCTTCCCTACAGACTCCAGATGGAGTGGCCAGTGCTACAGAGAGGCTGCTGACTATCCTCAAGGTGGCCGCCGGCCTCGTTCCTATTGCCACTGCTCTCTACGTGTCTAACCTGACTCGGTGCACGCTTCCCCTGGACATCGATCAGCCGAGCTTTGATTAGGTCCTCTGACTGATTCCTTTAAAGTGATAACTTCCTCTACTTTATCATGTTTATATTTATTTGTAGAAGTTGTTAATGTCGACAGTTACACGTCTGCTTTTTCAAATAAATGTTACCAGGTGTATATAATGATCCATTACATTATGTTTTACATGAACAGTGCTGTGAAAAACACTCCAAGTACACCCTACAATTCAATATCGTAGAACCACCTTGGCAGCAGGAACTAATTGCTTCTCATATGACTTTATCAAAGTGTCACATCGTTGTGGACGACTTTCAGCCCACTCGTCTTTACAACGTTGTGACAGTTCATTGAAGTTTGCGGCATTTGTTTACAGCAGCATGTCATTTCGGGTTGAGATCTGGACTTTGACTGGACCATTGCAACAGCTTGATTCTTTTCCAGACATTCTGTTGTAAATTTGCTACTGTCCACGACCCACTTCCAGCCAAGCTTTAGTTGTCAAACAGATGGCATCACATTTGACTCGACTTGATGTTCAAGGAAGTTCATGGTCAACTCAATGACTGCAAGATTCCAGGGTCCAAATCATCACCCCTCCACCACCGTGCTGATTTGTTGCGTTTGGATTTCTCCCACCATGGTGCTGGTGCTGTGCATTATTGCCAAACATCTCTACTTTGGTGTCATCTGTCCAAAGAACGTTGCTTGTGGTTTGTTCAGATGGAACTTTGCAAACCTAAACTGTGCGGTAAACTATGCTTATTCACGCTATTTCTAATTGTACCTTAACATTTCACATGCTAACTGAGGTCTGTAGAGTCTGAGATGTAGATGAGTGTTTGTTTATTTTTTCTGACCTTGGGTTGAATTTGCTGGGTTGTCCAATCCTGGGAAGATTGTTGTTAACAAACAGCTGAATACTCCAAATCTACAAAGTGCCAGAGCTTCTGTTTTTATAGTGGTGGTCACACTTGCTTATGATCTATTAATCAAGTGCACCCGTTTGGCTGCAAATTCCCCCGATTCCATTGGAATCAGCAGTTCTACTTAGTTTTTCACAGAGTACAAGATCCTGGGAAAACTTTTTCTGGTTCATGACCGTATATGAAGCAGTAAGCGTTAAAGGGTTGAACATAATTTTAGAAAATTTCCATGTAAATACACTTCAGTGGGCTTTATATGATTGTCTGGAGTTTCATTACATTAATACCATGTTTTTAATTAGGTTCTCAAAAAAAAGTTGTGAACTGGAGGCAAAATTTGAATCTTTCCAGTGCACAAATAAATCCAACTAAAATAAATAATGAATAAAACAGTCCAACAGTTTTAAATCAAGTAAAACCCACATCTTGTTTTTTCATATTTTGCTACAAATATGGCAAATGGGTGTAAATACAGAAAAAAAAGTCAAAAACAGAGTTTAAATCATTCTAACCGGTTTTAAAGTCAGTATTTGGTATGACCATCTTTATTCTCCAAGACAGTCTGAACTCTCTTAGGCAAGCTTTCTTGTCATTTCTTGAATTAACAAAAAGTTGATTGGGTTCATCTGGATATAGCGTTTTCAGAGGGAGAAACATGTTTCTTGAGGGACGATCAAAGCTCTTCTTTAGATGTTGGCTGCCTTTTGTTCTGCCCTCTATCAGGAGAATCCCACACTGCTTCAGACTCTGGGGAGGCCAATCCATGACTGATGGTGTTGTATTGTTTTGCCAATAAGACAGTTTCCAGATGGTTTTGTATGGTGGATCAAAACCTGATGATACTTTTCTGCTTTACTATCATGTGTTCATAATTCCCAAGACCCCAGCACCACCGACTGAACTGCAGCTCTAAACCATGTCAGAGCCTCCATACCTACTCCACACGCTCATAATGATTTCAACCAAAAATATCACAACTGGATTGTCACTCCTAAAGACCTGTTGTTGCCAATTTTAGTTTCCTGATGAGATATTGTCAGCAGCCTGCTGGGCGGGCAGGCAGGCAACATGGACACCCAAGATTGTGAATGTGATAACTCAAGAATGAAGCAATGTAGGACTTTCTAATTGATAATAGACTTAAAACGGGTGTAAGATGCCAATTATGTCTGTCCTGAATCAGTCTTATTAGGTAATGTTCAAATAATTT